TGTGTGTGTGTGTGTGTGTCTCTGTGTGTCTCCGTGTGTGTGTGTGTTTAACCTGTTTACTGTGTGCTCCTCAGGGTGGAGTGGTGCTGGTCCACTGTAACGCCGGCGTTTCTCGCTCTGCTTCTGTTGTCATCGGGTTCCTCATGTCCCAGGAGAAGATGTCATTTGATGAAGCCTTCAGCGCTGTGAAAACCGCCAGGCCTTACGTTCAGCCAAACCCAGGCTTTATGGGTCAGCTGAAGAAATATAACCCATCATTCCACACAAAGAATGTATTTTTGTAAACCGAAATGTCCTGTTCTTAGCATTTAGATGTTTCCCAAACTGCTTGATTACTGCACACGTCAGATTTCACACAGCGCTTGATGAGTTTATGAGTTGATTAGATGAAGCAGGCGTGTTAGATTTGTTAGACACCAGAAATGTGAAGTTTGGGGACTCCAGGGCCAGGATTGAGAAACGGTTTTAGTGTCAACGTCTTTTATTTCATATTTATATTTGATTAATTATATTAAAATGTTTTTTTTTAATGAATGTTTATGCTTATACTTGTTGCAAAAATACAACATTTTAAAAACCTTCGCTGCTGATTTATTGATGGCCTTTACATTTAGTGGGTGACTTTTATTTTGAAATGCATCGTGACCGGAAACTGTTCAGAGTCCGCGCACACGTCACGGCACAGCAACTGAAGAGACTTCGACAAAACAAATAAATCGGTGATATATTCACCTGTTTAGTGATTTTTAACGATATTTTACAGGTGTGTATAGAAGCATGTCGTGTGAAGCATCGGTCCAGAAACAAGTGCTCTTAATAATGGACAGTTTAGTCACTTCTATAGTGACAGAAATTTGTCAACTCGATATTTTTCAGTCAAAACGTCAAAATGGAAATCCAGAAACTGATATTAAAATGGTAAGTTCGTTCAAAAGTATAATGATTAACATTTTAACTTTTGTAAATATGTTAACCATTTTACTTTCACCAAAAATTACCGTGGTAACCATAGTTAACGTTACTTCCAAAATATACAATAGTTGAATGGTTATTTTACTGTAAAAAGATAATACACTAATATGGGAGTCCTTCGATTTAGATATTTTATGTGTTATTTTATATGAATCCCTTTTTTTCCGATGATAGCTGGTTAATATCAAACGACCTCAGTTAATGTTTGAACTATCAGAAAAAAGTGGACCTTGAAAAAAGAAAACATGCATAAATAAATAACAAAATATATGGATTTTCAAACCTTGGCATTTTCTTAATAAACGTGGGAGCGTCAATCCTCAACATTATGTGTGCGGAAACGTAATAAAGCTAACCTGTTGTATGCAACAGTTAGGTAAGCAAAACTTTTAATTTTACTTTAACAGTTAAACTGATTATTTCTTGTTTGATTCACAAGAATCTGACGGCTGCTATAAGGAAAATAACAAACTCAGCAGCTGAACACATCTGCAGAATCCTTCATAAAGCATCAAGTGGATCAAGAAAAGATCTTACACAACCAGATCAAGTCGACCATATGGTAGAGCAGCAGTTTGCTGGGAGTGGAAGACCACTTAACACTCATATCAAAGATGAGGAACATGTCAAAGGTGGTTCTCCTCATAATTAAATCATGTGTTACTGTTATTTTAATAGATTAAATAAGAAAAATGCACTGTTGTAGGAGGAGATCAGCAAGATTTCACCTCAGACGTTGTGTCGGGAATCCAGGAAAGATTGAATTGCACCCCATCTGGTGGACATCTTCTTCAGACTGTTGAAGTAACCCACATCCAGCTGTAATTGTTGTGTTTTTGAATATACAAAGGCTTTGATTTGTTGTGCATCAAACTAACATAACCCTGACTTCATCTAGGAAGAGCCGGAGTTTAGATTTGAAGAAGTATTTGTCCATGAAGAGGAACAAGTAGAGTGTCAAACTGCTGCCGTAGATGGTACAGACTACCTCACATTAATGCAATTGGATTAACATGGTATAATATGTTAATGTAAGGCCTAAATATACAATATCATATCTATAAACATGCCTTGTTCATGTTACAGAATCAATAGAGGCCGATGCAGATGAATCTGAATCTGTAGAGCATCAAAGAGAAGAGCAGTGGACCACTGAACCAAACTCTAAGGACGAATCAAATGATATTTCAGTACCATTAAACACACTGGATCCACCCGATATTATCGAGACAGGATTGGACGTCCCAATAGACGCCGCTGAAGAAGTGCAACCGAATGCAAGCGATGAGCAGAACATGTGCAAAATCTGCGGAAAGACCTTCACCCACCTCAACAACCTGAGAAGACACGAGCAGAAGCTCCACCGCGGAGAAACGCCTCACGCTTGCCAAGAGTGCGGAGAGCGTTTCGGCTCCAGACGCCTCCTCCAAATCCACCGCAGAGACCACAAGGTGGAAAAGCCTCACAAATGCACGCTCTGCGACAAGGTGTTTCGCTTGCCCAACCACTTGAGGAATCACATGATGAGTCACGGTGACCAGAGACCGTTCTCCTGCGCCGCATGTGGGAAGAGCTTCACCTTGATAAGCGTCCTCAGAGCTCATGAGCGAACGCATGCTGACGAGAAGAACTTTGTATGCTTGCAATGCGGTTCCAAGTTCCTCACCAAGTCTTACTTGGACTACCACCAGCGAGTTCACACTGGAGAAAAGCCATACCTGTGCAAACACTGTGGGAAGAGCTTTGCCCAAAAGGGCAACCTCAAGGCGCACGAAAGGCTTCACACGGGCGAACAGCCCTTCAGATGCGAGGACTGCGGAAAAACCTTCGTACACGCCAACACCTTCAAATCCCACAAGCAGCTCCACACGGGAGTCAAAGATTTCTGCTGTGAGCTTTGTGGGAAGGGCTTTCGGCGAGGAACGCATCTCAAGACTCATCTACTGACGCATTCTGGAGACAAACCGTTTAGTTGCGATGTATGCAGGAAGACTTTTGCCCTCAAAGGATCTCTGAAGACGCACCAGCTCACTCATACGGGGCAGAAGAGTTACGCTTGTAACGTCTGCAGTAAGCAGTTCACTCAGGCCAGCTCGCTAGCCAAACACAAACGGGTTCATACGGGAGAGAAACCGCACCGCTGCGGAAACTGTGACAAGCGTTTCTCTCAAAGCAGTCATCGTAACTATCACTTGAAGGTCTGCCAGTCTGGGACAAAAAGTTCTGCAAACTCTAATGTGGAAGAGAACTAACTGAACAGTCATTCCGTTTGTGCCTTTCTTGAAAAAACCTAACTGTGACCAAATATTTGAGACTTTTCTTAGAAGATCTGCAAGATGTTTCATGCCTAATTATTGGATATTATTAGGGTGACTCTCCTGGGTCAAATTTTACAATGAAATAAAGCAATTATATTTTGCATAAGGAAAACAAAATATATGAGACTATTTGAAGAGTTCATTTGCAAAAACGGATAACTCCGTTTTTAACAATTTTTAAAAATCATGTTTTTTTTTTCATTGTGCATTCCAATTAATCTCAATCAAACTGCAGTTGGGTTATTTTGATTAAGTAAAAATAACAAACAAAAATACAGCTAACTAACACAATAAAAACATGATAACATAAAAAATATGATTTTTGAAAAAAAAAAAAAACATCTGTTTTTGCAAATAAACTTCATTTGCAGATTTGTACATTTAATACTCAAATAAAATGTCTCAAAACCAAACTGAAATAAAGGAGTAGAAATGCAATTTAAAATGTAAAAAACGTAATTGCCATGGAAATAATGTCATGCAAAAAAAAAAAAAAGTAAAATATAATTTTTCTTTTAGATTTTTCTTTGAAATATGCAGAGCCCACAAGTGGACACAGTGTTGGAAAAAAAAATATTTGATGGGGAAAAAAATAATAAACATTTCAATGGTTTGCATTCACTCGCAAAAATATTGCATTCCCCTGAGAAACTTTGCATTCACTCACAAAAAGCATTGACATTATTTTCCCTCCTAAGTGATATTATTTCCATCACAGGTTTTGGGAACGAGAAAAAGCATTCAAATTTTTTTTCTCCCATCTCAATATTTCCCCATCACCATGACCCCATAGAAATACTACCAGCATTTAAGATGTTTTTTTGTGTAATGTGTAATATTAAAATTGTACACAAAACTCACTTTTCCACCATAGACGAAAGGGAGACATGCGTAATAAATAGCCAATTTTACTAATAAATGTTAAAAAAAACCACACATAAGATAGACATTTACTGTACATCTACTGACAAATACTACAAAGCAATCAAAGTTTTACAAAGAATTCAACTTTTAAATTAAGACATAGCAACAAATGGTAAACGTCAACTTAGAAATGAGAAACATTAGTTTTGGCATTCAGAGGAATGTAAAAATTATTTGTATTTTTTCTTTTTTACAGAGAGAGAGAGAGAAAGAAAAAAAAAAGCACTTTCCTGTTGACCAGGTTTATATACATAAGCGCAAAATATCACAGACCAAAAATGAAGGGTTTAAAAAGATTCAGAAAGTATAAATAAGTGGGAGCTAAGTTGAATTGACCTGTTTGACAGTTTTTGCAACCATAACCATAATGTTTGTTCACAGATGAATGAGCGTTCTTTTGTCTTAAAGGGGTCATATGATATTAAAGCATGTCAACATATTCTGTTACACCAAATACACAAAATAATGATCTTTAAAATCGCATCATATGACCTCTTTAAGCAAAATTGTTGTTGTGTTCTATCCGGGTGACTACGGTGGACACCAGCCTCTCCAGCTGCTCCGCCCTCTGTTTGCCCGTCTGCAGAACCTCCTCATGATTGGCCTTTTCCTCGCTGTCGTAGTCCATCACTGCCTCATTAGTTATCAAAGACAGAGCGAAGACGCGCATCCCACAGTGCCGTGCCACGATCACCTCGTGAACCGTACTCATGCCTAAAACACATGAAGTCTGGTTATTAAACTAGTTCACAGAACAAATTGCATATAAACAAATTTGAAATTCAATGTTATATAAAACCCATTATACAGAACAATAACTCACTGGTTACTAAACCACTGTTCATTTGCATAAAAAGTTAAATTTGGTTCAACTTAAGGTATGTTTACACCACCACTATTGTACTAAAAACGCTTTTTCCTGTGCGTTTTTGAGAAGTTTCGCATACAGACGACAATGTTGTCAAAACGATCGCCATTCATTCGGATTCGCAAAAACAACTAATGCATACCAGGCCAATAGCACATGCACATGACGTAACCGTTTACAAATCTTTGTGTTTTTATCGTTAGATTCTGCTATTGTAACTTTGTACTTTGAAACCCGTTTTCAAAAGTTTGCATTTTCGGTCCCCCAAAACACCGTTTTTGTGTAACTGAATGGCCAAAACCCATAAAAATTTCCTGTTTTAAGTTGAAAACTGTCCTGTAAACACTCCCTTAAGTTGCCTTGCAAAAGATTGAAAATGAATGCCTTCCAGCTACTTTGTTACAGCATCACTGTTCATTTGCATAGAGTTACATTTTAAACTGTCACATTTACATTTATGCATTTGGCAGATGCTTTTATACAAAGAGGCTTGTATTACATTTCAGGTATGCATTTCATTAGTTCAGGCATTCCCTGGCAATCGAACCCATGACCTACTACAGGAATACTAACTGTTGTCAGTTCGAATGCTCTTTTCAGCGTGTCGGAGAACTGCATAATACTCTATTATATTATTTTATATCATAAAGCTACAATAGCGTGTTCTGATTGGTTGGCTTTACAGCAGACGGGACTCTTACCGACAGCATCAGCTCCCAGTTTGTGCAGCATGCGGCACTCTGCGATCGTCTCGAACGACGGTCCGCCTAGAACGCAGTACACACCCTCTCGCAGGAAGTCACTGTAACCGAGCTCCGAACCCACGTCGAGCGCCAGCTGCTGGAGTTCTCGATCGTATGCGTCAGACATGCAGGGGAAACGAACGCCAAACCTAAAGAGGTCGAGTAAGGCTTATGTAGTGAACAGTATCTACAGGAGCACGTGTGGGAGGGATCTCTGCATGCCAAAACAGATCCGTGACATAACCGTGGTGATAAATAAACACATATAAACATGCCTTTCGTTATTGGGTCCAGCCAGAGGGTTGTTTCCAGCAAATCCAGGCATGTTGAGATGATCTTTGATGATCATGATGTCGCCTACTTTATAGTCCTGGTTTAGTCCGCCAGCGGCGTTGGTGAGAATCACGGTCTCCACACCCAGCAGTTTGAATATCCGCATGGGCATCGTAATCTAAAACAGAACAACAATCTTAGTTTGAGATGCTTTGAAACTCGCATCAGTTGCAGTTTGCACCAGCTGTGTTCCATTTGTGACCCTGGAGCACAAAACCTGTCTTAAGTAGCACTGGTATACTTATAGCAATAGCCAACAATACATTGTATGGGTCAAAATTATCAATTTTTCTTTTATGCCAAAAATCATTAGGGTATTAAGTAAAGATCATGTTCCATGAAGATATTTAGTAAACTTCCTACCGTAAATATATCAAAACTTCATTTTTGATTGGTAATATGCATGGCTAAGGTCTACATTTGGACAACGTTAACGCCGATTTTCTCAATATTTAGATATTTTTTTTTGCACCCTCAGATTCCAGGTTTGGCCAAATATTGGCACAAACCATACATCAATGGAAAGCTTATTTATCCAGCTTTCAGATGATGTATACATTTTAATTTCAGAAAATTTACCCTTATGACTGGTTTTGTGATCTAGGGTCACATTTGTGCTGTTTTTTTAATTGTTGATCAAGCATCAGATGGACAACTTGTTGCACCTTGCAGATATTAGCAGTACGTTTTAAGTTTTAGCGCATACATAACCGGTGTAAATGCTATAAGTGTTCTGGCCTTTGCATTCCACAGGGTCAATCAGGCACACAACACAACCAGTTAAAACTAATTCTGTTTTCAATAAGGTCATGTGTGGACCAAATATAGTTAGTTCCTGGTTAAGAAGGATCTTTAGGTCAGAGTCCTTCAAGTTTGTGCAACTTGCAATTTCAGTGATATTTAAATATACAGAAGTGAACCGTTCTTAAACCCAGAGGCTTGGATCAGCACCCAGGACCGTTTGGATCTGTAATCCAACAATACAGCCACAACCACCTCTCAATTTAACTGTCAGACTGACAAAGAGCTGTATTGTTGACATGTTTTGGACTCGGACGAGCCAGAATGTGTGTATTATAGGGTGCTCGTACCTTTTGGATGGGATATCCCTCATAGAGATGAAACCGTCCCTGCATGCAGACACAAGGTCTGCCCTTCAAAGTGCCAAACACCAGCCGTCCAGCGTGACCGTGCACTGCAGAAGAGAAAGAAATGCACAGATTCAGTAATGGTTTTAACAAGATAAGATACACAATATTCTAAATTATTCAGTAAACCGCACCTGTACTTTGGGGGAAGTTGGGGATGTCCCTGTAGTCGAAGGCCACCTGGTCTTTCAAGGCGTCAGCCAGTCCACCCAAACCCGAACCGCACACGATGCCCACCAGAGGACGCACTGCAGTCTGGGACCGAAGCCAGTCAGCTGTGGCCTGGCAATCCTCATAGCTGTACCTGCGAAGACAGAATGGAAAAAATGAGTTTAAGAGGCCCCACACATGACTGTAACTGAATGTGTTTCCACATGTCTGACACACTTGAATGTCACACACAGTCGCATTACACTTTTATACAATATACTTACACAACTGACATATATACAATAGCATTTGCATATGTATTACATAACTACATATTATACAACAATGTAACTAAGATGTTGAATACTGTAACATATTTGAATGCCTATGAAGCCTGCAGATACCAAATAAAAATATCCTGCAACACGAGCCACTTTCTGACACATCACTGCTGTAAACTGAGCGGCTGACTACTAAAATAAACTTCCTGTGACAGAGCATCTTTATGATTAGTACTATGGCCTTTGCACAAAAAAGTAACATAAAAATTAATTTAGATTTACAATTTAATTGCAGCAAATATACATTTCAATACAATCAATTGTCAAAACAATTAGCCTACTGTTCTCAAAATAACTAGCAGATGTTTAAAAAGCACTTCTCCAGAGATAGTATGGTATTAGTGGTATTTATAAGTAGTAGGCTAGGTTAATGGTTGACCAATATTATTGGCTAATTAAACATATCTAGAGAGTACGGTGTCAAGATTATATTGTGTCTGTTATACAGTAGCTATATGTTATATTTTACAATTTTATTTTTGTACATTTTAACAGAATGTCAATACAATCAATTCAAAGTCAATTTTTCCCTCCAATACATATGTACTTCAAAGCGTTCTTTCTCAACCCCGCGTTTAAATCCCCAAACATTCGCTTAAGTAACGGTTCCGTTCGCTTCGCGGGAAACACGCATCACCACGTGCTCGTCAAGTGCTGCTAAAATTCGGTTAAATTACATTTTACACAGTTAATGAAAGAATGAACGGATGAATTATTATAGGTCGACTTTAACCAGCTAACTGAACTCCCTGTACTATGCCACTGATCGAATAACTTACATAAATAGAAACTCAACCATATAGTTCACTTTCAAAAGACAGAATGAAGACAGTAGAACTAGAAAATTAGATTCGAAAAAATAATAATCGTTTACCCAGTGCTGCTCTCAGGAAACATGATTAAAATCGCTGGAAAAATCCTTCGGAAATGTCGATGTTACTATGTAGCGATGTATGGTAAGACACGAACGTACGCGACGAATTACCAATATTTTTGGTATGTATTTTTATTACTCAAAAATAAAAGAGATGATAATAAAACAACACCACAAGAACGAGACGCGAGAATGAATAAAGCGCTTTTAAAATCCCTTTTAAAAATCTCGTAGCCGGTTTCTTATAGAGCCGCCGCTTCCGCCGCTCCGCCCCGCGTTTGACGCAAACGAGAAGCGGAACACCTCCTGATGGGTGGGCCGTCATGGGCTCATGGTCTGTTATCAGTAACATCTCACTAAAACTTGAGCAACAGCTGTCAGACTGAACAGCCTGGAAATTGGTTTTCCTAGATTAGATTTATGGATGGTTGAACAGCACAACCGCACGTGACTAAGAGTCATCCAAATATAAACACTGTCATGTGGGTCCATGTGTATTTGGCTTGTTCAAACTAATTCACAATGATTCAGATAAAGAAATCATGCACTTTTACACAGATAGCCTCAACTGCCTTTTCTTTTTGGCTTTGTATCCATAAACTGGACAACAGGCGTATGATATGTAGCTAATACTAAAATTTCAGGGTGTGTATTTAGAAACATTAAGTATGTAAAACCTATTTTGTTGAGTTCTGAACATATGCAAGAACATATTTCGTCCTGCTTTGCTCCGCCTGGGTCAACATTGCAGAAATGCCTAAGAAAGTTTCATAAGTCAAAGAATTCAGTTCTCCAGCATTCCCCTCATGCTAAATCAGGGGTGTCCAATCCTGCTTCGTCCTGCAGAGTTTAACTCCAGTCCTAAATAAACACACCGAAACCAACTAAACAAGGTCTTCAGATTCTCTAGAAACTTCCACGCAAGTGTGTCGAAGCTGGCTGGAGGCAAACTGGACACTGGCCCTCCCGGAGCAGGATTGGACGCTCTTGTACTAAATGTATCCTAAATTCATCACAGAAGTTATTGCAGCATTTGCATTTACATTTAGTCATTTTGTAGATGCTTTTATCCTAAACGACTTACAAATGTGGACAATAGAAGCAATCAAGAACAAAAGAGCAATAATATGTAATTGTTGTTCTTATTCCTATTGTTGTATGTTTCTATTTATGTTTAATTAGTATGTAGCACCGTGGTCCTGCGAGACATGACATTTCGTTCCATTATATGTCCACACATGTAGCAGAATGACAATAAAGTTCAACTTGACTTGACTTTAAGTGCTTTGACAAGTCTCAGTTAGCCTAATATAGCAAGGTTTTTTAAATAATAAATTCAAAGGAAACAAGTAGATAGAATAGAAAAAGAATAGAGAATGCTAGTGTTAGAGGCTCATTTTTATAATAAATTAAAAGAAAACAAGTAGATAGGAAAAGAATAGGGAACGCTAGTGAATAAAAATAATTACAAACCCATATGTTTAAATGCATGCTTTTTTATTTTAGACTAAGAACAGGATCTACCAGGGTGTCTCAGAGACTCAGAAAGAGTTCACGACCCCCGTTGACCTATGACCTGTTTCAAACATATCACATTAGGTAGAAGAATCCTATTCATATTAGCACCTCGTATAACACACTTCCCACACATGATCATGTCAGTCAAAACCATCTTAGGGTTATCAATGAAGAATGATGATTCATTTTATTTGATCACCTCTGTGACTGCCAGTTTAATGCAATATTTATCGTAACAGCACAGTTCCTACATCAGCCCATTAAATTACTCAATGGCACCTAAATCCCAGCATCATCGCAATTCATGACATCATAATTCTCTGAAACTGCTTCTGCTTTTTGTGTCATGTCCCACTGTAAAAAAAAATCCATAAAAACCATCTTAGGGTTATCAATGAAGAATGATGATTCATTTTATTTGATCACCTCTGTGACTGCCAGTTTAATGCAATATTTATCGTAACAGCACAGTTCCTACATCAGCCCATTAAATTACTCAATGGCACCTAAAGCCCGGCATCATCGCAATTCATGACATCACAATTCTCTGAAACTGCTTCTGCTTTTTGTGTCATGTCCCACTGTAAAAAAAAATCCGTAAAATACGGTAGCAACATTTTAGGTTTTACGGTTTTAACTTAAATTTACAGTTAAATACCGTAATTCCATTAACTGATATAATGTTAATATACCAACCTTATTGAAGTACTGAAATCTGTTTTGTATCTTTGTAATGCACTGATAACCACCAAATGCAGGCGGTGATGAGAAAGTCACATGATGAACAAAAGCCCATCACAAGCAGCTTTTAAATAATAACATATATAGAAGGCGCACAGTGTCATTCACACAAACACTAAACACCATCATGGTAACACACATTAAACTGAAATAATGCAATAAACATTCATTTAACAACAACCCTAATATACAAAACTGATAAGAAAAAACTAAGAAGAAACATAGTTATTTCAACAAAAAAACATCAAATTTGAAATGTAACGCAGGGAATTCTGGGAATGTCAATTTACGGTTATTCACTGTAAATTATACGGTCTTTCTCACTTCCAAAAACAGTATACTACCATAAAATTACATGTAATGTCGAATACAGTTTTTCACCGTGTATATAGTAGGGTTACCGTTAACCGTTTAACAGGTTTTTACTGTAGCATTTTTACAGTCTTTTACCGTTAAATTCATGGTCATTTTTTACAGCTGTTGTGATCATCCAGTAGTTCAAGGTACCCACACGTGACTAAATGACAAACAGATAAGCATAATATTTACAACCTCACCTATAATAAAAGGCCTTATAGGGGGCCCTGTTTTTGCCTCAGTCACTGTTGTGACTGTTTATAATCAACCCAAAAAACATAGCTGAAGAAAAGAAATGGCTGTGCAGAGCTCAACCTGTATTGATGACGCGTTTTTTTCTTTGCACAAGCTGACACGCTTGTATCCTGACCAATGGTGTAACCGCTCGGCTCATGATGGCACAAAACAATTTAGCCGTTTCCTCAGAGGTTACAGCTTTGTAGGAATCAATAAAAATGTTCCCAAAGCTGTCCCGGTGCCAAGTTTATTATGCAACAAGTCCTGCAGAACAAGGTCAGGAGGCCCTTAGAATGTCTCACCTTTGTGATTTGAAGCAAATTAAACATTACTTGAAAGCCTCCATCTAAATAAGCAAAATAAATCAGCCTGGGGGGGGGGTTTGTTTTACACTAGTCAACATTTCAAATGGATCAGGTTGTCCCAAAACCTAAAACGCGTTCTTGTCTTAGGACAACTTTTTTGATCCGCTTCAAATGTTGATTACTGTAGATTGGAGGAATTGCGTCTGATCAGCACGAGTCTTGAACGAACACATGAATCTTTACGCAACAAACTGCACACATAACATTCTGGTAATATTGTTATCCACGTCTGATAATTGCAAAGCATACTCACTCCAGACCAAGGGTGTGCATGAAAGTCACATGTTGCGGTCAGCGCAGGAAGTGAGCAGGCCTGTCGTCATCATGCATAGTGACCCTATTATTCATAATGATTGAGAGTGTGTGCGCAACGTGTGAAATGCATGTGAGTTTAACGGGTTTAGCTTGACGTCTTTGACAAGACTATGCGGTTTGGCTAATGCATGCATCAGTCCTTTTATGAGTTCCTTATTATTGATTAAGAAGGCCACAAGCTCAGTTGAGACAAGTCATGAGCAAAATTTGGCAGATCTAGAATTTTCCAAGCTTCAGTATCGATTAATATCTACAGATTGACACAGGGGTGACTGAGAATCTGCAGAAATGTGAAATTGAATGAAGAATGGCTTTTATGGCAGAATCAAGTGTAGTCAAAGATAGGAAATAAAACAGTCCAGTACCAAATGGGCCACTTACTGGCATTTCCTGAACTGACAAGCACTGAGGTGTTTTTGTGTGATCTATGTGAAAAAGGCTGGTCCAGTAAGAATCTTCTAATTTAGTAGGACTGAGAAACATTGTTGGATTTGTCTATAATGTTACTTAATAAATGTGTGGGTCAGTTTGACTGCAGAAATTCACTGCCAGACATATTTGGACTCGGACCAAAGCAAATGTAAACTTTAACTCGGTTTTTCTCTCACAGCCTTTCATTAAACTTCCTGTGCAGCAAACACTGAGCCTTAGTAATTATACAGACAGGTCCAAAAGTCAATCTCGAACGGCTTCTATTTGGCATTTTTGCTAATTTAGTGCAGATTATTCAAAAAATTAAAAAAGTTTTTCAGCACCTTTCGAAGAGGAAGAACTTTGAGAAACATATGAGGAAATTTTGGACATTATAAAAGTGATGCAATAGGAAGAGGGGGTCATAAAGAGGTCTTATGATGCGATTTCAAGTTTTCCTTTCTCTTTGGAGTGTTACAAGCTCTTGGTGCATAAAGAAGATCTGTAAAGTTGCAAAGACTAAAGTCTCAAATCCAAAGAGATATTCTTTATAAAAGTTAAGAGTCAGCCACGCCTACCTAAAACGGCTCGTTCTAACACGCCCCCACATATCTACATCACTATGTGGAAAAATTTGCATAACGCCGCCCAAATGTTAACGCAAAGAAAGAAGGCGTAACTTTAATTCTCACTGTAGTATTGTTGACGCTGCAGCCATGTCCTGAAGACGCTGTGTGCTTCGTTGTGAAAGCGAAACTACTTTGGCCTTCCAAAAATGGACACGACTAGAAATCAGTGGTTAAGTTGTATTTACAACACTGTTCCAAAACTGGATAGCTGGCCAATCACAGCACACCTCGCTTTTCAGACCGATGAGCTTTGTAAAAATCGACG